AATATGAAGAGAAATCATTGAATTCTATAATACTGAATATATCTTTGTCTCAATATTAAGTATTTTACCAGGGTAATGCCTCATGAATCCTGTTGAACTGCCGAAGTACTGCCAAGAGAGTGTCGGATCACTTTGATAATTATTGATAAAGTGCGTATCTAAGCCTTCCGACCAATGTATTCCTTTTATTACTTCCGGCGCTACAATAATATTTATTTCGAATTAGTCGTTTATAAATAATAATTATTTAAAAATTAATTTATATTCTAACATAATATGTAAACTAACGTATTTACACGTAGGTTTAAACAAAATGTTAAACAACAAATAATTTAGAGGTCAATAGTTTGAAGAAGATATATATGTACATATCTTGACTAAAATATTTACTAACCCCAAGCATAAACATTGGTAGGAACATGAACGCTACTAAAATTGGCGTTCACAGGTATGTTTGAAAAGTGGGGATTAGATTGTAGATGAGCACTTTTCGTTGGCGGTCGAACAATCCAATTATCAACATTGAATTCCGGTTCTGGTGTGGTCGTCAACGATACATCATCGTAAGGTTCATCCATTTCTTTGCTGTTGTAAAATTGAAAATCTTCCGGTACAGGTTCATTTTGTTTATCGAACGCCATGTTCTCAGCCGCTTCTACGATCCTTTTAACGGCACTAATTTTGAGCTCCATCATGGCTCGAATATCGTCCGCCATGTTTTGTACTAATTTTTCTCCATCCCGCACTTCAATTTGCGCGGACTTAAAACTCTGAATAATACAAAATGGCACTTAGCAAACCTGTACAATGTAATGTGTACATTATGTAAATTGCTATCATACTTACATCCTGAACTTCTTTCTTCCGAGTAATAAACTCACCAAAATGATATAATTCTGTACCAAGTTTGACTGCCCACGCCTGCACCCTGTGAATATTTTGTATTATGAGATTGCAAGCTTATGTACCAGCGTCCCATCTACGCTGCGAAGCAACTATTCTTTCTGATTTATAATTACGATATTCTTCCAGTGGAAAAGTTTACTCTAATGAAACTGAAATTTCTTGCCTTAAAATGGGTGAAGTTGTTTTTAAATGTGATATACCTTTAGTATTAGCTTAACATAAGTAGGCTCATTTGCCAAATAAATACATATTAGTAGTATTCGTTTTTACTGGTGGTAGAAACTCTTGTGAGTCCGCACGGGTAGGTACCACTACCCTGCCTATTTCTGTGAAGCAGTAATGCATTTCGGTTTCAAGGGTGGGGCAGCCGTCGTAGCTATACTGAGACCTTAGAAACCATATATCAAAGTGGGTGGCGCATTTGCGTTGTAGATGTCTATGGGCTCAAGTAACCACTTAACCCTGGCATTGCTGACGTCCATGAGCGACGGTGACCGCTTACCATCAGGTGGGCCGTATGCTCGTCTGCCTACAAAGGCAATAAAAAAAAAACTCCAGGTGGGTTGTGAGCTTCGTCTACCGATCAAAGCAATAAATAAATAAAAAATAAGTGAACATCGTTTAAGTTCAGCCTATCTAGAGGTAACCAACAATTTAGCTATGGTACTATCCATAAACGACAGAAGCTATAACCATCAGATAGCGTTGTAGATCGTAGTATTTTGTGGCTATGCGTTTTAGTTTAGAGGCGTCATTACAATAATCAGAACTCCGACTGCGTGACGGTACAAATATCGTTCTGTCTGAGCTCCGATAATCGTTTAACATCCAACGGGTAACGAGCTCGCCTGAACTGAAAATCTAGAATTCGTAAAAAATTTTAGTAATCACAATCGCGAAGTATTAGACGTTCTCGTATTCTGTTGTATATGTAATGGGCGCTGCAGTCTGTCCGCGATGTTTACAGTAGCCGGTTTTGATTGATTCTCCGTCATAATAAGAAAATAATTTCTCACTGATACCACGTCTTCGCTATAAAGTTAATAATGCCTCCTCAGCCTTTGTGCAGAGAAAAGAGACTATTTGACATTAAAGATCAGATCCATCATCAGAACCAAATTCAAATCGTCATCCAAATTCCATCATTAGATCAGAGAAGATCATCGAATTCCAATATGCGATACTAGGTTTTAAGATGTTTGTTTTTAGAATAACACTCTTGGATGTAACTATGCTACCATTCATTAATTATATTCGAAATAATATTGATATTATTACGTCGCAAAAAATCAATGTATTGTCGATCTCACTGTACTTTTGTAACGAAATAACAACGAATACGTTATAGTGATGAATACTTACGAGTTGAACGATATCTTGCCAGGGGCATCATATTGAATGCTAGCCGAACAGTTCCTGGGATTCAGGAGTAAGAGCACAAGTATCGATATCGAACCGCCGACACGGTTGCACATCAGAAAACAAGTTAACCGTTTATGTTAGCCGACTATAATTGTTTGCTCAAAACGTGATATAAGTTCATTATAATTTTCTGGATTACACAAATATAACTGATTCAACGAATTTACAATATCAGTGCAACGTTGATAAGGAGTTAACCGCGACGGGCGAAGCGCAGGCGTGGGGAGCACGTCCGGGCATGCGCACTATTCGGTTTGCGCATTCCTACTGATGACCTCCACCTTCAAAGCCCGTTTCATTTGTATGTGTTCGTTACCTATATTCACGTAACTTGTTTAATGGTATTGTCTATCCACAGAACGCATCGATTTGTTCCCCTAACGCGAATACTAGGTCACTGTGTCGCTGGAGCGCGCAAACATTGAATAGAATTTAATAGAACGCAGTCTCTCCCTCCTCCAGCGGGCTAGTTAATCTCCCATAGTTTGTATACGAGTAGTTTAAATATAAAACATAATGTTTCTACCACGCGTATTTATTATGTTTACACAGAACACAACACGTTGTAGTTTTGCACGTTATTTTTACTTTAGAGATTAATTCGCGATATTATAAACTTGTTTTAAATTGTAAATAAGGCATTTACGATTTAGTTGTAATATAAAAATATGAATCATTACAATTTTCGGCTTAATAGATTAAATAAAATAAAATAAAACTTCTAACTATCTTCCATAGATAGAAGATTGGTTCTAGATTAGAAACTTGCTCCAAATTATACACTAAACATAGTTGTAATATAAATATGAATCATTGAGAATTTTGGTTTAATAGATTAATATAAAAACAAATAAAACGAAGCAGGGGTGCAACAAGTTTTATTGATAAAGTAACAAAGGTACAAACGTCACGCGGTTCATCTATTGCTAACTAGTCACAATTATTAACATCATAAATATGTTTTGTATGACAGAATAGCTATTGAAGCTAATATACCCAAAACAATTGAGTCAGTTGCCAGAATGTTCGCGTGATCGCACGCCATGATGTGCCGTTCCTGTAACAAGAAAGGCAGCCTGATAGAATATCCCCAGGCTTTTTTATATATATTTTTAATACTTAGATGGGTGGACGAGCTCACAGCCCACCTGGTGTTAAGTGGTTATTGGAGCCCATAGACATCTACAACGTAAATGCGCCACCCACCTTGAGATATAAGTTCTAAGGTCTCAGTATAGTTACAACGGCTACCCCACCCTTCAAACCGAATCGCATTACTGCTTCACGGCAGAAATAGGCGGGGTGGTGGTACCTACCCGTACGGACTCACAAGAGGTCCTACCACCAGTGAAAGTAATATAATGATATCCTAGAACGTCATTTTCACCCAACTCAAAACGTCCGATGTAACTTATTATTTTGTAAACGCATTAAGGGCCGATGTTAATACAACAATTTTGTAACTTCGATCTAATATCCTGACCAGTAAGTATCAAGAGGATAAAATAGACGAAATCAATTGCTAGTTAGGTTTATTATTTAAGCATGTTTTTTAAGTTTTTCATCATCATCATCAGCCTGTATCTCTCCACTGCTGGATGTAGCCCTCTCCCGTAGTCCACCACAATGAACGGTTAAGTTTTTAATCTACAAATATTATTTAGCGAATTACACAGAAAATAATACTGATAATGAAATGATGATATTGAATCATGAGCTCAACTCGAAGAACGAGTCTCTCAAATAATTATTAATCTACCCTCAAAATTAGCGACAATTTTTACCAAGTCGCAGACCAGACACAAACATATTCACTAGTAGGTATAGGCGGTTTGACATATCTCTCGTGTTAAGTACCATCATACGTATCTCTGGTGGAAAGAAAACACGTGTTGCGATTTAAAGGGTGGGACAGTAAATCAAAACTACCCTCATTAAGGTCAGGTCAAACAGTTTAGTTGAAAGTAGAAGCCTTCAACTACGTTATCAAACGTAAACATGTGCGAACGTGCATTATATCGAAGGAAGAAAGACTATTTGGTTTAAGCGACATTTTGCAACTTCACAGGAGAGCCATTTACAGTAGGTATAAAATTTGGCAAAAATAATTTAACAAAAAAACTTCTTCAGTTTTTTTAATGGAATAAACTTAATTGATGTTCAATTAAAAACATCGAACTCATGATGCTAATACCAAATCAAACTTAACTTACTTACTTACTTAAATTACAAAGGTAAATGTTGCGTATTAAGCGAAATGTCGCTTAAACCAAATGGTCTTTCAGCTATCGATATGTGAATTACATGTGTATGTCATTGTGGATTCGAAATGTGTTAGTTCATTAAGGATTTTTTTCTTTTTCTTACGTCGGTGGACGAGCTCACAGCCCACCTGGTGTTAAGTGGTTACTGGAGCCCATAGACATCCACAACGTAACTGCGCCACCCACCTTGAGATATAAGTTCTAAGGTCTCAAGTATATTGAACGCTGTTTATAAATTTATGTGTGTTATGTGCGTCATAATATTTCACCTCATCATGGTAGGTGAAGCAATCTTCAAGACGTCGTCTGTGCAGGGCGCCTAAATCCAACTTATGACAGGGCTCGCGGCTGGCGGTGGACTCACTGGTCGGACGTGGTTTTGTATTCGGTGGCTCCTTGCACGTTTCAGGATAACGTTTGTTTTCAGTTTTCACAACGACAAGTAGTAAATTTGTTTTCTTCACTAACGAAGCCCAATACGCCGGGTGGCACTCCCCCGGTTCGTCCTTGTAAACGACAGGCGAAGCGCCCATTGCCTCCGAGAAATATGTCTGATTCAATATGAACAGCTTTATAATGTGGTCACACGAGAATGGATTTTCTTCTGGTTCCTTTGCAGCCTCAGATCCGTTATTCAATGGTGGGATTGCAGTGGTGGTGGGCTCTTCCGTTGTTTCTGGTATGAGAGATATTTACGTAGCTTTATTTTAAAGAAATATGACATTAAAATAAAAAATACTATAACAGATAATAATTAATTTACTAAAACTTATTAAGCTATTGCATAGCCTTTATCGCGGGCTTTGAGCGCGGCGACTGAATCAAGAAAGTTCGTAACGAAAATAAAACCTAACACCCCCACTCCGCCTATCATGTAGCTCGCGTTTAACACATTCACACTTTTGTATAGTGTCTGTGAATAAGCGCGCGGCGTGACGTCGCACTGCATGCGCATCATGAGAAGTCTGCCCATCTCTCTCTCTCTCTCGCGCGGTCTAGCTTATGAGTGTGAAGGGGACAGTTAATGTTTTGCTTTTGTTAATGTTTATAAATATAGCGTGGTCTTATTTTATTATTGTTTTAATATTAAATTATTATTGTCTAATTATAATTGCATAAGTTGATAAAAAAAGCTATGCAATAACTTTACCACGGCAGTCCCCGAGTGCCACACGTGTTTTTTTAGTTTTTTTATTCTTTTGTACACATGACATGATTTCTTCAATGCAATTGCAAATTTAACATAGTTTAAGGAAAATTATATTTAAATAAATAAACACATACCATAAATTTCCATAACTTCGCCGTAAACATAATATTCCTTCCAGTTGTAAACGTTCGATAGCAAGAAAAGTGTTTCCACGAGCAACCATCGCAGGATGTTCCCGACTAAGGTGAAAGTCTAAAATCGTTACATAAAGTGATCAGGACAAAATTTGATTTACAAGGCGTGTTTTCAGCCCACATGTGTTGGAAATACCAGTATTTGCAAGATGGCGGTGTTAGTTTGAACAGTAGGACAGCTGTTATTTTGATGTATTTGAAATTTCAACTTAATATCATAAAATGGAGAGGATTCTCGTTCTGACCTACGGAATCACAGAAGTTAGGGATTTTTTTTGGCCCGTTAGGATAGATAGCAACATTTGCTTTGCTTATTTGCTGCGAAGCGTACCATTTTTACTGACAACATTGGCAATACATCTACAGAGACTCCGACCTCCGTCGTATGTCGGGTTAAGCTAGACTGTATTCAAGCTGTGATATCTGTGGATGTCATTACTTAACACCTAATGCCCTGTTGACTTCACCACTAAAGGAATACAATATAAAACTAACACTGGCCACCATTTAAGACAGGGTGATCCGTAAATTCATATAAACAAATACACTAAAATATGTTAAATAAATACGAATGTTTGAATGTCCGCGTATTTATCATAGGTAAATTTTATGAACGCTATGTAATACATAGCTTACATCGTATTTTTCCAATAATATTTTTCGATCGTAGTCGAATTTGACTACCAATGATAAATACCTCTTGTTAGTCCGCACGGGTAGGTACCACCACCCTGCCTATTCCTGCCGTGAAGCAGTTATGCGTTTCGGTTTGAAGGGTGGAGCAGCCGTTGTAACTATACTGAGACCTTAGAACTTGTATCTCAAGGTGGGTGGCGCATTTACGTTGTAGATGTCTATGGGCTCAAGTAACCACTTAGCACCAGGTGGGCTGTGAGCTCGTCCACCCATCTAAGCAATAAATAAATAAAAGCAAAATACACAATGTAAATGTTCCTTGGCCCATGTTTTTAAACGGACACAATCGTTGACGTGGAGCAAATTGCTACATCCTGTCAGTTATGTACTTTTGATAGCTTGGTATTAGAGTTCAAAGAAGCCACAAGTATTAAAATTATTATAGGTTACTTATATTTTGCGTTTTAAATATCTGTGCAATATATTCAATACGATATTCTCACTTCAAATCACAAGTGCAAATATTGTTTCTTGTGACTTTTGCTCAATTACAACCATACTGTATTTAACACAAATTATTTGTGATTTATCTGACATTCAATTAACGAAAACGATTTTTTTGTTCTTTCAAAACCGTAAACAACCATATTATTATTTATGATTTATCTAAATTCTCGTTAAATTAACGAAAACGATTTTTTTTGTTCTTTCAATTCCGTAAACAACCTTATTAGTTACATAAATGCAACAGGTTTTTTTTAATGTGATGATTTAAAAAAAAACCCTCATTATTTAACTTGATTACATTGATATGGTTTTAAAAAGATCTAGAGTTTACAAATTGAACCCACATTCACCAGCGACCATGAATTATTCTTCTCCGGCAATATGTCTATTGGACACAAAGCTTGATAGTCGAAAACTTCAACGTGTTGAAATATATTCTGATCCAGAAATGATTGTAGGACGTATTTGTTGACGATCCCGAAGAATTGGCCGACTTCTTCCTTGTCTTTGGACAGAACTATGTACCCTGAGCTATCGATGAGATAACAATCGTAATCTTCACCGCTACATGTTACTTCCTGAAAACAGTGTATCTAATTATTGCAGTCGTAGACAAAAAAGCAGCACACGTCCCACGGCTGATAGTGAGTGGTTATATATTTATGAACGCAATGGCTATCGTCCAGCTCATGAACGCAATGCCATGAACAAAGTCAAGCCAAGAAATCAGCCATCAGCCAGACAAAAGCCATCTTGAAGCCGTCCTGGCCTAAAGGATAAGTTCGGTGCATTCGTATCTAGCGATGCAACGGAATGTACCAATTTTTCTAATGAAATACGTACTTAACAAAATATTTTCACGATTTACTTCCACGGTAAAGGAATAACATCGTGTAAGAAAAATCAAACACGCTAAATTATAATTTGCGTAATTACTGGTGGTAGGACGACTTATGAGTTCGCACGGGTAGGTACCTCCATCCCGCCCATTTTTGCCGTGAAGCAGTAATGCGTTTCTGTTTGAAGGGTGGAGCAGCCGTTGTACTGTTAAAACTTAGAACTCATGTCTCGAGGTGGGTGGCGTAATTTATGTAGTAGATGCCTATGGGGTCCGGTAACCAATTAACACCAGGTGAGCTGTGAGTTCATCCAGCCACTTAAGCTATAAAAAAAATACCAAAAATTGCCCCGATCAATTAAACAATTGATCGGGGATTGATACTAAACAGTATTAATTGTAACGAGTGTTACATTTTTTCTTAAATTAGATAAGATTTCTTTCAAAATACCAATGACAAACAAGAGAATACTTAAAGAATATGAACTTTATGATGTCAGAAATGAGGCAGTCAGCGCAAAAGTTACTTAACCCTCAATTTTTCATATTCGTCCTTATATGTATATATGTATTACTAGGCTGCACTAAAAGTATCGGGAATGGAATATTTCCACTGTTCCTGTCATATTAAAATCTTTTTAATTGAAAACTCCTTGGTTTTAAAAATCGAATACCATTTATTTATTTAAAAAAAGATTCTCGGTCTCGTCACGAGGTTTTGTCAAACTTGTTTAGTCGTTGAGAAAATGGAATTGACTCGAGAAAATTCAAGAGCGATGATTTATTATGACTTTCGAAGTGGTTTAACACAAAAACAGTGTGTTGACCGGATGATTTCTGCATTTGGTGATGAAGCCCCATCCAAAACCACAATTTATCGCTGGTTTGCTGAGTTTCAACGTGGACGTGTCAAGCTCAGTGATGATCCCCGTCAAGGTCGTCCAAAAACTGCAGTCACCCAAGAAAACGTTGATGCTGTGCGTAAGCTGATTGAGGAAGATCGACATGTGACATACCGCGAAATTCAGGCAACTTTAGACATTGGCATGAGTCAAATACAAATAATCTTGCATGAACAATTAGGTGTAAAAAAGTTGTTTTCCCGATGGATACCGCATTCGCTCTGTGAAGAGCAAAAAGCGGCTCGCGTTACTTGGTGCGTCAGAACTCTCGAAAGATTCCACGCAGGATCCTCAAATGCTGTATACAACATTGTATCAGGTGACGAATCCTGGATATACGCGTACGAACCCGAAACAAAAAACCAGTCACGAGTTTGGGTGTTCGAAAATGAGTTAAAGCCAACAAAAATTGTTCGTTCACGGAGTGTTGCAAAAAAAATGGTGGCCACGTTTGTCTCCAAAACCGGCCATGTTACGACTATTCCTCTTGAGGGACAAAGAACGGTTAATGCAGAATGGTATGCTAGCATTTGTTTGCCACAGGTCGTTTCTGAACTCCGTAAAGAGAACTGCAACCGCCGCATCATCCTCCATCACGACAATGCGAGTTCTCACACCGCGCACAGAACAAAAGAGTTTTTAGAGCAAGAAAACATAGAATTATTAGACCATTAACCGTACAGCCCCGACCTAAGCCCTAATGATTTCTATACTTTCCCTAAAATAAAGAATAAATTACGTGAACAGAGATTTTCATCACCTGAAGAAGCTGTGGACGCCTACAAAACGGCCATTTTGGAGACCCCAACTTCCGAATGGAATGGTTGCTTCAATGATTGGTTCCATCGTATGGAAAAATGTGTCAAATTTTGCGGAGAATACTTCGAAAAGCAATAAATACATTTTTAAATAGTAATGTTGTGTCACTTCGTTAATTCCCGAAATTTTCAGTGCCGCCCTCGTACAATTTATTTAAAAATCTATTAAAACAAGGCCTATCCCGAGTTTCACCGATAGATAACCAATGGCTTTGTAAACATCATTTTTACGCGTATTGTGTTTGCCTACGAAGCAGTTTAAAAGTAAATTCAACCTTATTTATCTCCATACTAACTATGGTGTGCTTAGGCCGCTTTTGAACTGATGGCTTCAAATTATGGTTGAATTTCAATCAATAAGGGTCAGATGAATTTAGACCATTTTATTATCAATACACTCACCCTACTGCCACTCCAGCTGACGTTCGTTATTTCCATGAACCGATCATAGAAACTCAAATATGAATATTCGAATCCAACAACCGAAGCCGGAGTCTCGGATTCGCCGTCTTTATAAAAAATTGCGTAGGTAGAAGTCACTGTGATGTCTCCGTCCTCATTCTGTACCGGAGGCTTGTTTTGTATGATGTCGTCCAATATGGGTAGCGGGGTCGATATAACTAGGGACTCCTTGTTGATCATGTGCTGGAGTACTGCCGCTTTGTACCAGTTTTCCTCGATAGCGTTGAAATAAATATCGCCGAATACTCTAAAACAAACGTTTTCTGAAATGATTGATGATGATGTTTACTGGTGGTACGACGTCTTGCGAGTCCGCACGGGTAGGTACCACCACCCTGCCTATTTCTTCTGCCGTGAAGCAGTAATGCGTGTCGGTTTGAAAGGCGAGGGCAGTCGTAGCTAAAAGTGAGACCTTAGAATTCATGCCCCAAGTCTATGGGCTCCAGTTACCACTTAACACCAGGTGAGCCGTGAGCTCGTCCATCTATTTGAGCAATAAATAAAAAATGAGTAAGAAAAAATCTGCAATATTTTACGCTCACTTTTATTACTACCTTGTAGGTACACCTTTGTCGGCCCTCGCCTATTTTACGAGGCGGTTTTCAAGACCGAGATTTGCAAGACGTAATTAAAAATCATAATTACTGTTTAACCTCGTGTTCTTTATTATCATTACATTATTTACAACGTTCAGAATACTTTACATTTTTCGTCATCACTACAGACGATTAAGGTACTATTCGTCAAAGTTTGAATATTGTACTACATTTAGATTAAACCTTAAAAGAACTTTTCTTATTTTACGATTCTGATTCAAACGTACTATTCATTATTTCCATAATGATATCGATAGTTCATACATAAACATTCGAATCACATATTTTCAATACATTTATCCCCTTAGGCTACTAGCAAATAACTGAGGGAAAAATGAATACGCAACCTTTCGACTATCGCTCTCATCATAAGCCCCCGTATTCATCGCTGTGAAGGTTTTGGCAAAGCTTTACGACCGCCGCCTGCCTGACGACAACGTTCCTTGAGAATATATGAGAGAAAATGTGAAAGTAGCCCATTGATTGATAAATTAAAGCGCGGACGGCCAGCGTGGTATGGACATGTGATACGTAGAGACGAGATGCATGTGACTAGGAGATGTATGGAAATGGTAGTGCACGGTAGAGGGGGAAGAGGTTGAACGAAGAAGACGTGGATGGAATTTGTGAATGAGGATATAAGAAAGAGAAGAGTGAGTGTTGAGATGACGGCTGATAGAAGTGAATAGAATAAAAAAAAATGCTGTACCGACCACAACTAATGGGATAAGGTGGAGACAAAGAGTGAGGGAGCAACCTTTCGACTATAAATAATGTAGGAACTGCGAGACGTTTTAAGATTAAATAAAGATGTAGCTGAGTTGGAACGATCTTCTGTTTTCATAATTAGAAAGTAATAGTATTTCCAAAGACTAAAATACCATGTCAATCATACCGATTCATTGAAATTAATTTTATTTTATATATAAGTCATAAACATACTTCCCCTTGTACTCCTTATGCCGATAACCAGTGTCATTGACCTTTTCGTTTTTTGTTTTATCATTTATATAATGCCATCTAGTCAGTCCACTGGCTGTAGCTATGAAACGGACGCTAACATTGTATTTTTTAGCTAAATTAATTTCTTCATTGGTCGCATCCCAATTTTCGAAGTAAGGAGTCGTTAACTTAGCATCAAAAACGAGTTGTTTGACTAGATCCTCGTTACAATAGTAGTCATCGACTCCTAACTCCCGGGTCGCGTTGCCACAGTGCGCTGGAATAATATGAATGTAAATGTATTCAAATGTCCCTCATTGAACCATTAGGATTTTCTCCTGTACTTTTATTTCTAGAAATCCATAACATATATAGAGGGTCTTGTGAACCCGCTCGGATAGGTACCACTACCCTGCCTATTTCTGCCGTGAAGCAGTAAAGCGTTTCGGTTTGAAGGCCGGGGCAGTCCTTGTACTGTAAAAACTGAGACTTAGAACTTGTGTCTCATGGTGTTAATGTCTATGAGCACCGGTTACCACTTAACACTAAGTGGGCCAATCAATTTTTCAATTAGAAATAGTTGTCTATATTTTTTTTTGGGGATTTGGATACCAGTTTTTTAACACTAGCAAATGGACAGACAGTACACTAAACATTAACGTATGGTGTTTGTGACTACAAAACTGAGACATTGTCAAAGGGAATCAAGGTATTCCAAACTCACTTTCAATGGACCAGGGAACTTCTTTCGCAGTTTCTTGCATGTACTGTTCTTCTGTAATATTCAGATCGTTGTGGGATATCCTCACAAGGAATTTCCAGACTTCCAACTCCACATTCTCCGATTCGTGGCCTTCCAAATAGTGATACTTGCAGTAGACCCTGAAAAACGTAAATAAACGAAGTTATTAAAAGAAGTTATCATTTTAATTTACGCTAAGAAATGCCGCTGCTAGAATGAAAATCCTATCTATATCTGTTTCTTTGACTTATTCATCTATTTCTCCTAACTTAAAGTCTGAATGGATTTAAAGATTATGTGCTATATAGTCAATATTAAGGATGTTTATTTTCGTTCTAAAACCGATATTTCTATATATTTTTATAGAATAAATTTCAAACAGATTTTTAAATTTTGTTTTAAGAATAGCATGAACTTATTTTTCCCTATCGATTCTTATCTAAAAAAAGTTACAGCGAAAGTCTGTAGATTAAATATACATATAATGTACCCTGAATACTAGTGTAATCAATTTAAAGAACATTACTATCTTACCAATCGGGATGAACTCTGTAGCTAAATTTGAAATAATCTGTTACATTTATTCCGGTGAGTGCCTTTCCTTGTTTGGCCTCAAGAGGATTATCCTTAAGCAAAAGCTCCGTGTCTCCGTATCCCTTAGGCAAAGAAATACCCATAGAAAACGGAGTTCCCACAAGTCGATTAAAGAAATAATCGTGTTCGACGCGCGCTATTCGCCTGAAAAAAATAATCTCAATATGAACTCTTTCTGGTTTCTTCGATAGAGCTACTTGAAGATTAATTTTATTATAATATGTATATTTATTTTTATTACTGAATACTAAAAAATATACTAATAAAAAAATTGTGTTACTAAGTCTTCCGTGTCATTAGAGAACCGAAATGGGCTTAATGGTATTTTTTAATTGTTTATTAAACAGGTTTTTTTAATTAGGTGTTTACAATTCACGGTGTAATTAGGCGACTATTAATACTGACCTCATGTTATCATAATGATACAGAACTTTAACTTCCTTCATGTAGCCATCTTCTCCATCGACCAGACTTGCACGTAATTTCTTAATTTGTTCCCCTAGTTCGCGTGAACCTTTACCGTCATCTACTTGTTCCACTTCGACGAAATCTACGCTATTGTAATTGTCTTGCATATTTCCATTTATCTGAAGATGTATTTACAATTTCGTGCTTAACTTTATCGATAACAATATTTAAGACGCATTTTTCTAAGACAGCTACAATATTGAAAAAATAAATCAAAAGTTGATCAATTTTTTAATCAGAGGATCTTATCGATTTCGTCTTTATGATGCGTCTGTTAACTTGTGTTCTGTTATGCTTAGTAGTATCTTCAACTCTTTGCTTCCTAACTTCCTAATATCTAAACCTATTTCCTACTTCACATGCTGCTGATATATATTGCAAGTCGGCATGGCTGAGAACCATGGTCTTGTTCTTTTAAAAGTATAAAAGAAACAAGTAGGACAGTCAAAATGTCGATGCATTTGCTTTTTTTTAGTAGTTTTTCAGCTACGCAAAGGTTTTTTTGTTATTACGCAACATGTTTTTTGAGAGTTTCTAAAAAAATTTTTATAAAAATATAAGTGTTTATAAAAATCATTTGGTGTTCGATATTTATTTCTAAAATAAAATATGAACCTACCAATGAAGTTGTATAGTGAGTTAGTCAATTTATAACGATCGTTATGCAAAAGTTAATGAAAATATGTTACGTCTTTATTTGCAAATTATATTTGTGCCTTTTTTAATTAAATAAATAAAGTCTTTAAAAATGTGTCCTGCGTTCGCTGGGTGGGAACTTCAACAAAAAAAATCTCAACTTGATCAGTATTTTATCATACAACATCAAATATTTCTATAAAATATGAGATACTCACCGATGTTATGAGCAAAGGGTGTAGAAGCAAATATCCATTATTACTCACAATAAAAGAATAACCATTAACTCCCAACTGAAATCAAACAATTTTTATTTTTAAGTTTTACAACACTACTGGTGGGAGGACCTCTTGTGAGTCCGCACGGGTAGGTAGGTACCACCGCCCTGCCTATTTCTGCCGTGAAGCAGTAATTTGCGTTTCGGTTTGAAGGGTGGGGTAGCCGTTGTAACTATACTGAGACCTTAGACCTTATATCTCAAGGTGGGTAGCGACATTTACGTTAAAAAAAAAACACTCATATTATATTTAAATATTTTAAAACATTGCAGAAATTACCATTTGATAAATCTTAGTAAATAATCTTTGTTTGTCGTATACATTAACCATAAATAAATAAATAATGTCCACACTGACTGACTCGGTGGTGCAGTAATTAACGCCCCTGACTGTTGCGCAAAGGGTCGTGGGTTCGATCGGGTAAACATTCGTGTGATGAATAGATTTGTTTGCTCTTTTTCTGAATGGTTATTATTTATTTATGTATATATAGAAACATAAATAAATATTTACATACATATGTCAGTCTCTAGTACACATAACACAGGGAATCCTAATTTGGGGCCAGTAAATCGTGCGTGATTTACTCCCATTTATTATTATTATTTATTTATATTTATTTAAAATCTTATTAATTTCATAATATTTTTTAAAAAATTTATTAGAAGTACAATTTTTAAAAAACACTATATAAAAATAGATTGCCGCTGATGGCGGTGTCTACGACACAAGCCACCAGTGGTTAGGACTCCAGAGTGAGAAACCTCCTCACAATGCGTGCAGTATCGAGGATAACTGCTTTCTGTATTAGGCCCTTAACCCAGCTGGATAACGAAAGTTTCTTAAGATGTTGATCGAAACTTTTCGCTANCACAGGGAATCCAAATTTGGAGCCTGTTGATCGTGCGTGATTTACTCCTATTTATTATTATTATTATTCAACGATCTCTAGCTATGACTTCCTTCGGTATCATGTGTAACAAAAACACGTCCAGATAAAAAAATAAGACAAGAACTAGAGCAAACAGACCACACAAATCAAGACACTTCAACAAAGACATTGATTCGGGAATCAAAACCAAGCTCACTAGCCGCGTCACCAGCAAGGTAAAATATCCCCAAATAATCATCAAAATATAGTAGATTGTTGCGGTTTTAGCTTCAGTAACTATCCGGGAACCCTTATAAGCCTATTTTATATGGAAGCTTTTATATGCTTGAATACGAGAATTTTCAACTGTGTACTTTGATAGAAACTATATTATCTATATCTGTCTTTATGTACTACAGTCATCGGTTAATACCAATAAGTTCTGGTTGGCTATACTATTTGAATAATGATAAAATAAACAAATTTTACCATTTACCTGATGTGGTTGAGCCAATTTGGCTATGCTATCGATGGGGACATCAGTTCCTGCGACGCCTAGTAGTCTCGCATTACTGCTGTTATCGTCTTTTTTGAAATCAAAAGCTGGGATGGCCACTGAAGTCACTAATTTGTCCTCACCCGGCTACAACATTGCATTAACATTTAATAACAAACTTTATACTTCAGAATTCGGATGTCCACAAAATAACATCGTTCAATTTTTTCCTGACTTATTCCGTATTACTGCACATTCCTAACGACTTTCCGGTGATAATCTGCTATTGAGATGGCGATTGAATTATATAATTTGTTAATGAATGAATTAAAAAAAAAAGTAATGGTTGAAAGCAGCTCAAGAGTTTTTTCTTTAATAATTTTAAACTTAAAATATATTTCAAATGATAAAGCACTAAAATATTTTGAGATGTATTTTGAAATTTCAAAATCGATATTGTTGTAACCTGGCCTTAACATACATAAAAAATTCGAAGGCTCCTTAAGATAAGGACTTTAGGTTGGGTTGCAGAGTAAGGGATCCGAAGAGATACTTTTGATTTGCATACTTTTTATTTCATTATATATTTTGGCATAACGAATTATGCATAGCTTTTAATAGCATAAGTATTCAAGACAGTTTGTTGTGTATAGATAGGCGCAAACACTTTTTGGTCTTTAAGTTTCCAGACTAAGCACCTAATTTAAGTCCTTAATGCTTGAACATGTTTATTTACACACAGAGGGTAAAAGCCCAGTAAACCTAAAAGATACTTACATTCCTGTAAATGTTTTAACTGTATTTTTATTTTTTATTTTTTTTTATTGCCTTTGTAGGCAGACGAGCATACGGCCCACCTGATGATGATTGGTTACCATCGCCCATGGACTTCAGCAATGCCAGGGGCAGAGCCAAGCCGCTGCCTTAATAAATTTAGGACCGTGCGCAATGGAACGCAATAAAATATTAAGACGACGTGTAAGGTCAGCGAACTCGTATGAGGCGAGAAGAGCGTTTACAGCTAGCTGCCTTAAAAAGTATTATCACAAAAAATAATAATTAAATATTTGTTTCTATTATATGTTCAAGAATGAATATTATTTTCTATTTGTATTAAGTAATTAATAGTTTTAATTTTTTAAACGGCTTTCTACGTTCCCAATCTGATATATTATTTTGACAACTACCATGGATCGATTAATCCAAGAACCCGTTCAGCTCGCAAGCATTGGTACCATTGGGCAATCTATACTTCTATACTATAATAATAATATTATAAACAGGAAAGATTTGTTTGTTTGTTTGTATTGAATAGGCTCCGAAACGACTGAACCGATTTAAAAAAATCTTTCACAGTTTGGAAGCTACACTATTTCCGAGTGACATAGGCTATAATCTTTTTTTTTTTTAATTAGGGATCCTTACTAAAACTCTAATAATGTAACCCAAGGTATTAGGTGGTAGGTGTTGCCTATTTCTGCCGTGAAGCAGTAAAAAATTACCTAAAATATTCTTTACATCGCGTGCCATGCGAAAACTATTGATCATAGAATAAAATAATGTACTACGACTTTGTAGAACAGATTATTATTTACAAAAAGTGTCTCGACAGAATATGTCTAACTATTATAGTTATGCCGCATTAAGTGTTCTTTTATTTAAAAAAATTAAACAACGTCAAATATCGTTGAAATTTTTGTTAAAGACCCGAGCGGAACCGGAGTGGGCCGCTAGTCGGATATAAAATGGCATCTATATTGTCAAGAGTAGTACAGAGAGTATGTATTTCTTGCTGCAATACAACTACAAAACTTACTTCGTACCGCACTACGAATAAATATAGCGGTAGGCAGCGGCTTGGCTCTGCCCCTGGCATTGCTGAAGTCCATGGGCGACGGTAACCACTCACCATCAGGTGGGCCGTAAGCCCGTCTGCCTACAAAGGCAATAAAAATAAAATAAAAAAATACTTATTATTGATTACGAATAAATACTTATTATTTATTACGAATAAATAATTATTATTATTCGTAGGTGCCGCAAATTAAATACTGTATGGAAGAGATACATAATATGTACATACCTTATCGATATCACCGCTGACATCCCATTTCGCGGTCCTCTGTGAATAATATTTGATTTTGAGTGGAATAAAAAGTCAATGTCACAGAATCTTTAATGATAAAAGTTTATTCATTTACGTATATGAGAACTCGGACACGCCAGTCTTGGTCGTTTTTTACTTCTACAATTGTCTGATCACCCGTTCGTAGTAATCGAATATTTATCTTATTGTACTACCTTTTGGAGGCAGAGACTGACTGTGCCTCTTGTATTGGTGATCTATATGAGCGACAGTAACTACTTACCATCAAGTGGGTCGTACAACTAGTCTACCTTAAAAGGTAATATGGACTCCGATATCGGACAAATAGGCCATGAGCTCATTTCCCAATCTACGCTAATTAAACACAGTAGAGGTAATTAATTACTTACTGGTGGTAGGACCTCCTGTGAGTCCGCATGGGTAGGTACCACCACCCACCTATTTCTGCCGTGAAGCAGTAATGCGTTTCGGCTTGAAGGGTGGAGCAGCCGTTGTAACTTAGATCTTAGAACTTACATCTCAAGGTAGGTGGCGCATTTACGTTGTAAATGTCTATGGGCTCCAGTAACCATTTAACACCAGGTGGGCTGTGCGCTCGTCCACCCATCTAAGCAATAAAAAAATTTAAAAAATACTTTTTCATTGATCTAATATTTCGATAAGACTCGAATTACAGCTCACTAAACTTCATAAACATAATAGCAAACCGACAAATAAATAACAAACCGTGTAATCTATATTGGCGTGGGTCCACGTAGGAGGTGGCTTCTCTGCCACTAGGATCATGGGAAGGGCAATCACGTTGATGTACTTCAACACTTGCTGCTGCACCTCTTCTACAGAATGTATGTGTACAAAATAACCTAAAAAAATAACAGTCCCTTTTTTAAAATAACTTTTGGTCGTCGTATTCACGAAAAAAATATTCGAAATAATGGAATGAAAATAAAAAACGCGGGATTCAATCATAAAAATAGTCTACGACGCACGAAAACTAATAGACTAATATACATACATACCTCTTTAACTATAGACACTACTTTAATACTGGTGGTAGGACCTCTTGTGATTCCGCACGGGTAGGTACCAACACCCCGCCTATTTCTACCATGAAGCAGTGATGCGTTTCGGTTTGAAGGATGGGGCAGCCGTTGTAACTATACCTTAGTAGTACCTTAGAACTTATATCTCAGGGTGGGTGGTGCATTTACGGTGTAGATGTCTATGGGCTCCAGTAACCACTTAACACCGGGTGGGCTGTGAGCTCGTCCACCCATGTAAGCAATAAAAAAAATTTAATTCAGAAAGTAAGCTTATTTTGTTTTGCCACAGGAAATAGCGCTGGCATTGAATAGTAATTCGATGATGAGTGGCGCCACCCGGAGGTTTCCGTTTGCTGCAGTGGTTCGCTTAGCTAACCAAAGGTATCAAAACTTCCCCACTTTTCTAAAAAATGCTGCCGTAATCGTTAACTTTCTTCCTAAAATTATCCATTAATCGTATCCCTATTATATTCAAGATAAATTTTCTTTCACTAGTTATTGTAGTCTAAGCTTTACGAAAAGTAAATATTTACAGAAAAATTAAACACACAATACAAATTTAATGTCTTAACGATATTAAAACGCAGATTACCACATCAGACCCATTATTCATTTCATTAAATCGATTATATTTGTTTGCGAATATTTTACGCAATAAATTTAAATAGGCCTCGACTAATCTATCTTGTAATAAAACTGTTTACTAACATGATATTACGGAGGTAATTGATATTTTTGTAACAGTACATCAACAGTCATACTTAAATTTATCGTTTTTTTTTTTTTCTTTTTTTTTTATTGCTTAGATGGGTGGACCAGCTCACAGCCCACCTGGTGTTAAGTGGTTACTGGAGCCCATAGACATCTACAACGTAAATGCGCCACCCACCATGAGATATAAGTTCTAATACGTGTTTAACTCAAATTTATGTCAAGGTGACGTAAACCTTGACCTCAATTGACCTTGAAGACATGAAAATTTGGATTTGATTATTACAAAATTCGTTTACTATCGTACTCGTACTATCGGACAAAAGTCAAGGATCTATAAAAAGTCTAAATTTAAAAATGGAGACAAGTAAACTTCTGATAATATCTAAAATTTACCGCCTTGACTGACTTATTAATTCATAAACGCAGAGCATAAACTATCTAAACTAGAATATTTTAATTAGGGCAATTGATGGTTTTATACCGTAAAAATTCACTACGGATTTTTTGGAAATTACACTCTTAAGGGGATTAAATAAGGGATGAACAAGATGAAGACTGTATGTTGTACGGTATATAATTTTCAATGGGGAAAAACCGAGATGTCATATACTTGTTTCTGTTTAGAAAGAAATGTACACTTGCGTACATATTTTGGACGTTATTCAAAAATATACCGTTCATCTCGGCTCATATTCTGTAAAGTTAGTATCTTTTTAAGGCAGGAAGCATAAAATTAAATATTAAACCAGCCTTATGTTTGGGATAAAAAATATACATGTAGGTATCATTACTGCCAATTACTTTTCACATAGATAACATTCTAATTCACTTGTACTACAGTCAGTAGTATGTACATATCTGATGACTTAGCGTAATGGGCCGGTGGTATAAATAGCTTTCGGTGATAGATTCAGCGAAACATTGCTATTGCTAGCGTTATTTTATTTTTATTGCTTAGATGGGTGGACGAGCTCACTCATAGCGAGCGGACTCACAAGAGGTACCACCAGTAATTACGCAAATTATAATTTTGCAGATTTCATTTTTATTACATGATGTTATTCCTTCAACGTGGAAGTCAATCGTGAACATTTGTTGAGTTGTTTATTTCATTAGAAAAATTGGTACCCGCCTGCGGAATTCGAACACCGGTGCATCGCTTCAACACGAATGCACCGGAGGTCTTATCCTTTAGGCCACGACGACTTCAAAGGGTTAGAAATTATCTAAGGTTGATAATATAATATTTGTCTTAAACATTTAAAAGCAAATGTTCATTTAAAAATACCTCTGTTAGAGCAAGCCATCCATTCTATTTCTGGTACATTTGTAACTTCTTTTCCGATAAGGTAAGTGAATACCCTGACAGGAGTATACGTTTTCCCATTGACGACAACTCTGTTGTATTTTTCGAACACGTCACTAAGATTCCCGGCCACGTAGTCCGTTATCACCATAATCAACTGATTACAGCCCTGTGTACTGCTCACATTACATTGTTTTCTTCTCTATACATGCAGAAATATTATAAATTATCAATGTATCATACGTTTAGATAATGATGAATATTTCAAAGGCCTAGTGGTCTAAATTTATCTCTAACTCATGCATTTATTACTAGATTGTTATTACTTAATAAAAATATATTTTATTTATAACTTTGTATACTAGACAGTATAAAGGCGGACTTAATGCTATAGGCATTCTCTGACAGCCTACCTTAGGGGTGTGCAGAGGGGGGTGCAAATATAATTATTGGAAAAATAATTTTAAGTTGTTAAACTGAGCATTAATATGTACATGTTGTTTCAGTTGTTTCATTTTTAGTGAACTCATAAACTAGAAGAATGGCCATCTGGTAGGTGCAACTCCTTACGTGACATGATTTGGCGTTGTCTTGGTGGGGTTTACAACCAAATTCCGAACCACACAATGCATTTTAAATTCTGAGATATGTCTCGTAATAAGATGTTTAAGAAGCTTTGTGTTGGTGGTTTCATGATATATGTATATAACTTTCTATCAGATGGGCTGCAGGTTCGTCAATATTAACAAACACGAGCTACTTAAAATACTTATTTATATAAAATGTTTCAGTGTTTACTAGTACTAAATAGTACTTATTATATATCAAACTCCATAAGTAGTTTACTCCGTTACTATCTACGAATAAATAATAAGTCTATTTATTCATAGGTTACTATGACATTTCATAACCATCAACATAATTCAGTAATCTTATACCTTTAAACGAGCAATTCTTGTATGTATATAGATTAATATATATATATAATCTGAATCTCGGAAACGGCTCCAACGATTTTCATAAAATTTTGTATACAGGGGATTTCGGGGGCGATAAATCGATCTAGCTACGATTTATTTTCAGAAAATGTTGTTTTATTCGTGTTTTCAATAATCAACTCTTCCCGACATCTATTGGCGAATAATAATACTATTTTTCTTAATTGAGGGCTACTAACCGCTTTAAAGACACAACAAGATGGCGTTATCAAAAAATATTATCTAGTGTAATTATTAAGGGACAACCGACAATCCAATTAGCAGAATTATTTTTATTGCCCTCAAAGGCAGATGAGCATGTGACACGTCTGATGGTGAGTAGTACCATCGCTCATAGATTATAACATCAAGCCTGACTAAGGCCAAATACTCTTGAAACGTCGTATGAAGAATACGGGAGAACTCTGCTAATTACATAATGTTTAAATTTTAAACATAAAACAGACGTTTTATCTAAGGTATATTAAGATTGCCGAACTGTCAGCTTGGCTATTCGCTCAAACATGTAAATTCACTGACTATATTTTACAATACACGCCTCGTACCATCCGGCTATGGAATGAGCTCCCCTGCACGGTGTTTCCCGAGCGCTATGACATATCCTTCTTCAAACGAGGCTCGTGGAGAGTATTAAGCGGTAGACAGCGGCTTGGCTCTGTCCCTAGCATTGCTGAAGTCCATGGGCGACGGTAACCACTCACCATCAGGGGCGCCTTATGCTCGTCTGTCTACAAGGGCAATAAAAAAAATACAATTTTTCTAAGACAAACACGGTACTCGGTATGGATTAGAAAAATAAATAACTCAGAATAGTCCTGTTAATTCGGCTTATCAACAAATAATAACTAAAAACAAAGTACACATTAATCGCAACAAAATTAATGATAGAATGAAAACTGTAACATCAGTTGGTTAAGTCAAGTAACGTAATAAAAAAAAGTAATTGGAAAATAAAAATACACTTTAACCCACCTCTTTTAAAGTGTCGAAAGCTTTCACGAATGCGGCCGTTAAATTGGCGTTTCCTGCTAAAGGTACATTAGGTTTCAAGTGTCCTTCCGCGTCGACAAAAGGCTCTAAAGTTGCGGTAATAGTTTTAAGATTCTCGGGAGTGGCCTGAACCAATCCTTTAAAGCATTTCACAACTTCGGTTACCGTATCGTTAAACTTATAAACATTAACGTAGTCATTGTTCGACAAAGTGTCCAATAAGGACCGCAACGTTCTTCTTGCCACGTAATTCTTGAATCCGGTCATTGAACCAGATATGTCGAAGAGGATGATGACGTCCTTGGAACAAGTGGCGGCTTCAATATACCAAGACATAACTCTGCAATCGTACGTATCTACTTCCTTTGTATTCCAAGGCATACCGGGGTAAAACCTTAAAACTCCGTGAGAGCTACCGAAGTACTGCCACGACAGAGACGGATCCGACTGATAGTTTTTTGTAAATACCTGATTCAGTTCTTTTGACCACTCTATTGCATTAAAGACGTTATTCTCTGTAAAATTAAATGCTTATCTTAGATATTATTATCATCCTAACAGTTTTGTAAATTTAGATTGAATAGTAGAATATTTTTCATATTTAATTGTGGCAAGGGAACTAGTACCCCAAATCTTTATTACTTAAATCAAAGTGCTCTACTAATGTTTATTGAAAATTTTTAAGAAATCATTAGATTTTTTTTTATTCGAAAATTTTTAGAATATCTCTTTTATCCGAAAATAATAAGATTGGTTAACTTACGAAATTTATCAAACGATTTATCGTAAAAGTATTTTTTTTTAACTATTTAACATTGTGTATCGGAAATTTACGTCGATAATAAAGAGGAATGATACGTAAGTATTTTAGTTCAAACGTATTTTATTATACACACTCACCTAAATAAAATATATTTGTCGGAACGTGCACACAGCTGTGGTTCGTATTGACGTTAATATCATAAAAATGCGAATCCCTCACTAGAGATACTGTAGTGTAGTGTGGATTGTTCTTTGTGAACTTCGGTTTAGATTTTTCATCTGAAACGGGCTTGTCTCCTGGTATCTCGTATGTGAAATTCGAGTATTTAGCCGAACAATATGTAAAATCCTGTATTTCTGATGCATTTTTAACATAATTGAAGTTCCTTGCTATTTGTATCGCTGTTTCGTGAATGCACTGAAATCACACACTATTTGAAACGATCAGAGCCAATATTTTTCTCAAATCAAATGATATTGTTAAATAATCAATAGGAATGCAAAAATACTATTCAAATTATGACTAAAACAAGTGACGCTGTAGGCGGAATAGTAAGTATTATAATAAATTATGGTTTTTATCCAATGGGATATTCAGAAATTTGATTGAAAGCATCGGCTGATTAATATATGTAAAACATACTAAAAACTGCGCTTAAATAGCAAACCGAACTAATTTAACTTAATGTTGGATTTTACCCTCTTCATCATACTGAGCAAGATATTTGAACGAAGTTATAAAAAGATTGAATTGTTAACAATTGTTAGTGTGTTTGCAAATTTTCAAGTTGATCGGCGTCTTGAAGTCGGTGAAAAAGACAAAACAAACATACATATGTATATGCAAAGTCAATAAAAACGTTTTAAAAAGAAGCAATGGAAACGAAGACGACCTTAAATTTATTTTAGTGTTCATTAGCAATTCATATCAATATAGAAATTGAGCATGAAATGTATTGTTAACAGCGTATTATAGTTCACTGTTGGACATAGGACATAGGACATTGGACATAGGACATAGGACATAGGACATAGGACATAGGACATAGGACATAGGACATAGGACATAGGACCTGGACATAGGACCTCTATCAAGGCACGTCACGCGACCCAATCCTGGGATTCTTGTCTCCATCCACTGCTCGCTCCAGCTCATGTCTTCGCTCCCCTTGCTACTTGACGTCCTATACTACTTTACAAATGTATTATTAAGAACTATAATTTAACGGGGATGCGGGAATTTACCTTGACAGCGTTAATTTTCCTTGTAAGCATTGTACTAACTGAACGTAGAGACGATTCCAATATTTGTTTGCCATCCTTCTTCTTTACGCTCGCGTTCATTTGTTTGTATTTCTGTTGAATTGAGGCAAATAAGATTCGGAGCGAATCCAGTTTATGCTATGGCCGGTGATTATATTTTATCGCAGCTTTGGTATTTTAACCACTTTAGGGGGACAGTTTCAAGTGTAGTATCTACGGATTCCGATAAACACTTTAAAAGGAGTAGCTTTTTATGTATAAGCCATGTTTTGAAACGAACTAAAGAAGTATTTAACTTGTTTTCTTCTCATTCTTTGGTTCTTTTTATTTCTTTTGTGCATGTTATTGTTAAAGATAATTTTTAATTAGTGCACATGTCTGGTATTTTTTTCTTCAACTATTATTAATCGATGTCATTTTTTTATTGTAAGCTGACGAGCATACGGCACATTTGATGATGAGTGGTTACCGTCGCTGATGGACGTGAGTAATGCTAGGGCCACAGTCAAGCTCTTGCACTCTCCTCAAGCGTCATTTGAAGAAAGACATGTTATACCGCTCAACAGAGCAAAACAATGGAAATCCCATAAATTAAATTTCAATATCTACAGGAACTCAACTTAAAATCAGTTACAAAATAACGAATACAAAAGCTCGAACAAAATATATTTGAAACACTTATGTTCACGATACAAACCAGCGAGCTTTACATTGTTATAAATAAATAAAAATTCTAACTCACGATTCTGATTTGATCTGATTTTGTGAGTGCTTCGCTGAGTCTCCATATCTCTTCGCCCAAGTTTCTTGCCCAAGTTTTTACTCTGGAAACAAAATTCAAGTAAAATATTCAGCAAATTGCCACTCAGCTATGCGTTGTTATAATATGATATTCTACTGCATCGTTATGGCTCACGACACACCTGGTATTAGATTAGGTTAGAAACTATATCCTGAATCATTGCCTGCATTTTATTTATTTATTGCTTAGATGGATGGACGAGCTCACGACTTGGTGTTAAGTGGTTAACGGAGCTCATAGATATCTACAACATAAATGCCAGCACCCAGCACGAGACATGTTCTAAGGTCTCAGTTTTTATAATACAACGACTGTCCAACCCTTCAAACCGAAACGCATTACTGCTTCATTGCAGAAATAGGCAGGGTGACCACAAAACGTCCTACGATCGCCTACCGATATTTGCTAGCAATGGAGCGTATTCTTAGGACGCATAATAATTATCATTATTTTGCATATTTATGTCGCGAAGCACTCATGCGTTTCAATTTGAAGAGACAGCTGTTATACTATAAAATTGACACTTCGGACTTATCTATAAATTTCGGTAACCACTTAACACCTGGTGGCCCATGATCTCGCTCGCCCAAACGAGAAAAATAAAAATCTAAGCTACTCTCATATCAAGAAGAAGTTATACTTCGAAACTAACAATATTTCATCATAAATACAACTAAACAACAATACAATTTTCCTACAAAACAGAATTATATTTTAATCTCAGAAATCGATTAGGCAAAACTCGATCTCACGATCGGAATGCTCGAGAATTGGAATTGGATTATGACGTGAATATCCTAAAGTAATTATTGCTTATCCTATTTTCAGAACTGTTCAGTTCAGTTTAACGAATATTCTGTTTTCAAACTAATATATTACAATATTAATATATTACTAATATATTATAACATTTAAGATCAGTTTTTTTTTTTATTGCTTATTTGGGTGGACGAGCTCACATCCCACCTCATGTTAAGTGGTTACTGGAGCCCATAGACATCTACAACGTAAATGCGCCACCCACCTTGAGGTATAAGTTCTAAGGTCTCAGTATAGTTACAACGGCTGCCCGGCCCTTCAAACCGAAACGCATTACTGCTTCACGGCAGAAATAGGCGGGGTGGTGGTACCTACCCGTGCGGACTCACAAGAGGTCCTACCACTAGTAAAAATAATCAACCGATTGTGTATTAAAATGATATTGTAAGGAGCCACAAAAAATATGGCCGATATTCCGTTAAAAATACCATCGGTGCTCAAATATTAGATAAGGCTTTTCAATTATTAGGCAGAGCCTTGGAGGATTTCTTCTGAGTCTAACAAGAAAACGACGTAACGTCAGAATTAATCCAAAATAAACATACAGACAAATAAAGATAGCTATGAAAAAGTGTTGGGGAGTAAGGGGAGAACGGAGCATAACATCTTTTCCGGCCCAACTGTCATCCTCACCTGCTCGCGCTAGTGGTTCTTTCAGAATAGCTAGCGGCGGCGGCCCAAAGGTCACCGCGGTGCTCCCTGCCAGACAACGGACGAGGCAATGGCGACCGAGCAATGGCGGTATAACCATACGTACCTAACCGGGAAACCGATTAGATGAGGCTTCAGCAACCTAGGAGCCCAAATAGCCCCTAAAAAGCCTGGTGCAGAAGGCAAGGGGAAACCACTGCACTATTTTCCCAAGAAAACCACATGAATAGATTACTTAATGAGAGNGAGTCCATTCTAAGGCAGCTAGACATCCGAAAAAGGCTCTCTTCCATCTGCCGGGAACGTGTTATGAGCTTCTTCGGACACATCATGCGGTCTCCCAGACATGAATTAGAGAAGCTCATAATTACGGGTCGAATAGAAGGCAAGCGCGCCGTGGGCAGAACACCAGCCAGATGGTCAGATCTGGCAAGAGAAGCACTCGATGGTAGTCTGTACCATGCAGTCCATGCCACCCATGATCGGGTGCATTGGAAGTACATCGCATGTGGTCGCGATCCTCAGTAGTGAGGGAACGATATAGAAGAAGAATGAAAAAGTGGTGACCTTAAAATTTTGCCATATTATGAGTTTTTGAATATTTCTTCTAACTAATGTTCGGCAGTCAGAGACTGTTTGCAGTCCCGTTTTATTTTGATCGCAATTACCGTAGTTAAAATACGTGTTATAAAAGGTTATATATTTATGAAAGGTAAATGAAAAAGCTCTAGAATTACTGTGTTTTTGACTTGCTAAGGTAATCTAGCTTTAGAGCAATCGTCGCACAGATTGGAAGAAAACCAGTCAGTTCACATCACGTACAAATTATTTCCAGATGAACTAAAAATATAGTGACAGACGTTCAATCTCGAATATGCAACCCTAATCTCTCTCAAATTACGGCTGACGCTATTCAATGTGTCACAACATACCGATTAGCTGTACCGATATTTACATAGTAGTGGCACTAAAGTTACTTATCTAACCAATGTACCAACCATCGATGTATCGATCAAGCAAATTTAGTTTTATCGGCACTCGAAGCATTACTTTTAGCTTTATCTACAACGGAGATTGGTAGTTTCGGGCACTTTATTTGGGGCGCGAATATTTTTAGAACATTTGTACTGCCTGCGATGGAACTCACGCGATCAATCAAGAATTACTTGATTATTCAATGTAATTAATTGTATTTTATTTATTACTTCGAGAGACCAGCTGACGCATATTTCGCGTTGGGAGAAACCATAATTTCATTCCAGCATTCCACCTCAGAACGTGAAGTCGAAGCTTGATTGCACTGGCTTAGGAATATTTAGACAATACAATATGCTCTACCAATAGAACTCAATATATTTACTGGTATTATATTTATATATATATTTACTAGGACCTCTTGTGGATCTGCACCAGTAGGTATCACCGCCCTGCCTATTTCCGCCGTAAAGCAGTAATGTGTTTGGGTTTGAAGGGTGGGGCAGCCGTTGTAACTATACTGAGACCTTAGAACTTATATCTCAAGGGGGATGGCGCATTTACGTTATAGATGCCTATGGGCTCCAGTAACCATTTAACACCAGGTGAGCTGTGAGCTCGTCCACCCATCCAAGCAATCAAAAAAAAAGTGATTAAGGGAGTTGCACATTTATTCATTTACTGGACGCATTAAATTTGTAATTCAGAAATGATGAAACTCGCTCCATTAACCCGCTGTAAAGAGTTGCTTGTGTCCCTTTTTGACCATAAACTACGTATAATCACGAGTCAGTGAAGACACTCTCGTATTTATTATAGCTGATATACCCGGCGTTGCCCAGGTCATGCTATTTACCATGATAAAACTATCCTACGTGTTATAAACTATATGCGAAATTTTACCTAAATCCGTTACCCGATTTTCCATTGAGTAACAATCCATTAAATTTATTTACAGTGTTAGTAAATGTAGTTGAGATGCCCCTACAGATCTTACACCTAATATCTTATAATTCATACTACACGATGACGATGACACGGTTTTTTTTTTTTGATAAATTGTATTTTTTAGAAATTATATTTAAATACAAATAATATATTGATAAAATGATGAAATATTCCAAGATCGTTTAGGCATTTTTAAGTGGCTTCGGGTGGCTTAACAACGCCATCTGCTGAAATAGCTTTAGTGTTATTGTGTTTTTAAAACAATTATGAAAAATAGTATTATTATTCGCCAATAGATGTCGGGAATTATCTATAAAGTTGATTATTGAAAACACGAAAAAAACAACATTTTCTGAAAATAAATCATAGCTAGATCGATTTATCGCCTCCGAAATCCCATGTATACTAAATTTTATGAAAATCGTTGGAGCCATTTCCGAGATTCAGAATATATGTATATATACATATACAAGAATTGCTCGTTTAAAGGTATAAGATTTTATGTCCAAACTCATTTTAAACAATATGCAGAAAAATATTAATTTAATATTTTAATATGCAACATCGTTGGATATGAGTTTACTCATAATTAAACATGTAAACGTTCAAACTTTGGTTTATTTTTGAACTTTCGGGGAGCAAACACCAGCTATACAACAAAAGCTTCAAACTTTTGTTTTATGTTGTTCAGATTTGTTAAAAAATTCGTTGGAGTGAGTAAAAACGACGCGGTTTGTCGATTAACGAGGTTTATCTACTTAAGTTTTTTTTGTATAATATATTTTTTTATAATTTTAAATAATAATCGAAAATAGATGCCTCAATCTCTACGTACCAAGTCCAATATCCCGCGGTAGGCCCTTAGAATTTATATCTCAAGATGGGTGACGCATTTACATTGTAGATGTCTATGGGCTCCAGTAACTGCTTAACACCAGGTGGGCTGTGAGCTCGCACGCCCATCTAAGCAATAAAAAAAAAGTAGAAAAGCATACCCTGACACTAGACCGGGAAAGCGCTAGGAAGAAGAAGAAGATAATGGCAAAATAACACAAGTGATATTGTCTACTTATGTATTAAATAATGCCGTTTAATAACTCAGAACCGGTAATTCTTGGTGCCGTAGGGCAATTCTGTTCATAATTTTATGTCTAAATATGATCACGTACAACATCATAGAAAATATAATAGAAAACGTAAACATACACAAGTTTTAGTTAACTGTTTTGCTTCTTCGAATGCTTAGCGTCCGTACCTCTCCCTCCGGAAGGCTTTCGGGATGCCGAAGAGGTATTATTAATGCGCGCATATTGCATTAGAACGAAGAATCTTCAAACTGCTAGAAACTAAACGAAACGCTAAAAATAAAGACCCTATTTGTACTACATAACACTAACACAACTATGTGCTACTACTATGTTATTCTACATGAAGTATTTTAATAGAGTAAAAAAGTTATGTTTGTCTTTTTTGTACAGATGCATAAACAAGCTAAAGATTAGTGATTAGCGTCACGGAAGCTCGTACACATCACAAAGTTAGTACCGCCATACATCTTGAAACCTCAGGTCGAAGTCTCAATTGTATTGTTTAATGACTCTCCCACCCTTCAAACTAGAATACGTGATTGCTCAGAAGTATGTAGGATAACTTCCAGTGCGAGCTCACATTACGTTCCATCACTAGTAAATTGCATTTGGTGATTAGAGTATGCTGATATAATACTCTCAAAAAATGCTGCTGCCCATTCTCCGGTAGATCCCTAACACGATTTAACGACACCCATCGGGTAGTGTTACTCTAGGTTATACATGAATGCATTGAGATAGGTTTAACCAATTTTTTTTAACATTTATTCAAATCAACTTGTCAATATAGTACATACATAAGTTTAATTGCAGTCATTTACAAATAAACATTTGAACTCGTTTAGTATAAAACATAATACAAATGTTGTAATTTTACAGCACGATCCATTCATACTCTCAAAGATCATGATACTTAATTTCCAAACTGTCATAAACAGAGCTGAAGTTCTATGTTGCTTTAAGTTCGCTTCGTGTTATTATTTCTACCATTTAAAAAGATAACACAGTGTTGGAATATTTGTTGCTGAATTATTGTTCGCTCCGGGAAATATCATTTTATTTTAGTATTTTCTTTCGTGTTCGAGACATCGGATATGATATAATGAGAATAAATAAAGCGAGATTAAACTGCGAAAGTAGTTTCTAAATATGTAATTTTATTTTGTTGTTGTTAAATGATACTGAGGGGTGAAAAGCTATTTGGTTTAGACGACATTTCGCTTAATACGCAACATTTACTTCTGTAATTAAAGGTCGGTTTTATTTAGTACTAGCGACCCGCCCTTGCTTCGCTTCGGAAACTGTAATTTATTATTGATTTCTCCACTATTTAATGGATGTTATTATACATATAAACCTTCCTCTTCAACTACTCTATCTATTTAAAAAAAAACGCATTAAAATCCGTTTCGTAGTTTTAAAGATTTAAGCATACATAGGGACAGATATAGGGACAGAGAAAGCGACTTTGTTTTATACTATGTAGTGATTAGTATAAAGAGTTCGGGATTTTTAATTTAACTTCAATTAAGTTTGCCGCATTGAAATAACTGAAGATATTTTTTATGTTATGATATTTTTTCCAAATTTAAACTTTAAATGGTTCTCCTGATATATTTCAAAAATGTCGCTTAAACTTTTAAAATTTTACTTTAAAATAGTCTTCCACCTCTCGATACTAAGCAGGAAATGTCATTCGCATGCCTGGGAACCTCTTTTTCTTGCTGTTGTCTTCGTTGGGTTTTGTTGTTTGTGGAGCTCATAGCCTGTCTGATGTTAAACGGTTACTCGATGCTGTACTTCGATATATCTGGATAAAATCTCAAGTACATTCTAAAATTGATTTTCCATCTTCAAACCGGATATATTCAATAGGAGTAGGTACCTACCCGTGCTACTTTCAATATTCCCTGCCATCAAAACTTTGGTCCAACGTAACAATTGGTCCAATGCTTAAGAATCGCACTTAGTCCAAAGGTAGCATTTGCGAAACTGTGGGATACTGACACTTCGTTGGCTAATTCTAAACTTCTATGTTAATAATAAATGTAATAAAATAAATTCTTAATGTAAAAAAAAATCTTAATTAATCATAATTTAATGCTCATACAACATATTTTCACTTGCTTTTATTAGCTTTGAATGTAATTTGAATGTAATTTTCACTGACTCCAATACGTCTACATACTTAAAAGAAATACAATAATTTTATAACCTCGCTCTAATATCAATCTAATATTGACCAGATAAAAAAAACATAAAGGTAATTATTAGCTCGGTTTGCTATTTAAGGGTTTATTGTTATTTTAAATTATTACACATAAATTATTTAATGCATTTTTACTGTTTACAAGCTCTCAGTGTTGTTAGTTTGTCAGCGTAATACTGACATTATTGATGTTGGTGACCGGGTCACCTTAAATCAAGGGAGTCAATCCTGTTAGCGTTTTCAATATCGGAAAATTATACAGTTTCGAAGAGAGAAAAAAACGCTATAAAAATCAGCGGAGCGTCACGTCGGGAACCGTAGAATATAGGCCGATCAATGAAATCCCTTAATTAATGGAAAATACCGGTAGGAGGTAAGATGGCGGTAGGGCGTATTGTAAAATGGGTAGGTTATCCTGTTTATTTCTGCCGCGAAGGCTCGCCTTTATAGAAAACAGTTGGCTATTTGATCTCGTGTCTCAAAGTGGAGATAATGTGACTTTGGTGACCATGCCATGTGTGGGTCGCAAAAGTCACATGAAGACACCTAATGGCACCAGAAACTATTTAACACCAAATGTGCCGTGAGCTCATTCATCCATCATTTGAAATAAATAATACAAAACGAAAACTATCTATGATTAACTAATTTTCTAATTTTGATTCGTGATTTTTGTGCATCATGCTAATTTTAATTAACTTAGAATGTTACATAATAACCAAAATTTCACAAGTTACTGCGTGGTATTAAAACATATTGGCTTTGGCGTCGTAAAGTTAATGTGCCATATTCCTTGTACTGTCTCACTAAAACACAATTCAGGGNAATACAAAACGAAAACTATCTATGATTAACTAATTTTCTAATTTTGATTCGTGATTTTTGTGCATCATGCTAATTTTAATTAACTTAGAATGTTACATAATAACCAAAATTTCACAAGTTACTGCGTGGTATTAAAACATATTGGCTTTGGCGTCGTAAAGTTAATGTGCCATATTCCTTGTACTGTCTCACTAAAACACAATTCAGGGATCGGATTAACTCGATAATTATGTAGGCTTAAAGCGGAGATTACAATATATTGTTTTCAGATGAGGATTTTGGCTTTATTAACTAAAGTCGATAAATCAATGGAAGTATCATGAGGTTCGATGGTGTTACTAAACAAGATACGAGTTTATAATTCGTGTTTTTGAAGTGAAAACTTCTTTAGAATCGTTGTGATTTCAAACCGGATGCAACGGAAAAAACGACAGGTAAGAGACACAAATACAAAAATGTGTAGGATGAAGCCAGCAAAGAATGAGACAGAAATATACATACTATTTTTAATACAGCGCCATCTGTGAGATTTTTTAATACTAACGTATGTATGAAAGCTCTTGTAGTGAATTTTAATTTAGGATTATACGTGAAATTAAAATATCAATTCACAGAGGGCGCTACCTTACAATTATTTACTAATGACAAAATTTTACATATACTTAAGACGTTTAGGATAATTGTATTTTAATTTTAAAAGGTTTCACTTCTACCACGTGTGAATTGCACACATGTTTTTTTATTTTATTAATGTTAGTGAATTTGTGATTGCCGTTATCATACCTGACTTATACTGAATAATATGTATATGGAAAATAATTAAAGTAAAGTAGTTGATGGAAAAAAAGGAAAAAAAAAATCAAACAAGGACGTCAATAGTTTTAAACAACTCTAAGTTTAAACACGTATTCTATTGGCTCTTGTTTGAAGAATTTATGATTGTACAGAGAAGATATATTATTGAAGTCAGTATTAAAACCGACATTCCAATACATCTCGGGCATCAATCTCATATGCATGACGGCATCCAGATATTATGAGATTTATTGAATCCAGTACATGTCATCGCCAGACAGAAATTGAGGTCTATTATTCTAGGACATAAAACTGTCCTAATATCTTACTTATTATATTTTATACACAAAGTCCATGATTGAAGAAAACAATCGTCCGAACAACCTCACAAATATTATTTTATAATCTTGCCAAATCATAGGCACCCCAGAAACGTTTCTTGTATAATCAGTCGTTATATGAAATTGTAATTGTAATAAAGATATGTAGGCAGACGAGCATACGGCCCACCTGATGGTGAGCGGTTACCATCGCCCATGGACTTCAGCAATGCCAGGGGCAGAGCCAAGCCGCTGCCTACCATAGTAAAAAATGTCTCAACTTTTCAATTAAAAATCGTAACCTTTTTGGATGAAAAGTATCGATGCTTATAAATTTCTATATTAAACTAACACCTACATGACCGAAAACAGAACACGCTCTTCAAAAAACAAAATTTAAATCAATAAAATTCTTATGAAAATGCTTCGTAAATAAATGTCACAACTTTGACCTTTCAATGAACTCAAAGCTCAGGTGCTTAGAAACTTAGACTGCTATATTTTAGATATTTCTTAGATTTACCGAGTAAATATAATTAATAATATGATTACCGCTTAAGCACCATTTAAATACAAAATCAAAAAATAATCGTAAAGTAATTTAAATTATTTTTACGGTTTAATCTCGCGATTTTAGTGTTATTCTATTATTTCCAAAGTTTCTAATACTTTACAGTTTTCGTGGTCACGGACGAAACAGTTCGCGAAAATCGTAAAACGTAAAAATAATGAAAGAATCGTAAACTATTTCTTGCCATCGAATTCGTATTAGGTATGAAAAGAAAACGCAAAACTTACTTTTTAACAACATAATATCAAATTAATGATAATTAGACTTAAGGAGACTTATGGTAACAAATGACTTTTGTTTTATACAACCGATAACATGGAGTTTAAAAGTTGGAACCCATAAAACCATTCCTATAGGTGTAAAGGCGTATTTTCAGCACACACAGCTGTCACACACGCACGCTACACTGCCAATTTCTACCGCTAATCAGTCAAGCCATTCAGTTTGTAAAATACCCATGCAATATAATGAGACTTAAACTTTGACGCTAAAGTAATCACTTCATACCAGTTAAGCCGTGAGCTATCTCTGAGAACAATTAAAAAACTTTAACAAACTAACTAGTGGTATCTTACATGTCAGCTCGCCAGGCTGGGACAGGATCTGGTGTCAGAAACAGCACCAAGAGGATCGTGAGCTTCAAGCATCGCATATTAGGGCCGATGACTCACACGCCAACAACGAACACTTCGCGTTAACTTTGCGAAACGCCTCGAAATTCACAAATATTTTACGAAGATAAGGCACGTAATTACTGTATTTTATTAAGGTATTAAGACACAAAATGACAATGTTACCCGTAAACTAGACAAAGCGTAACATTATTTTTGAACGAAATATCATAAGCTTTCGCCGGAGACACGACCAAGGCCATCACATAAACATTCACACGCATTAAATGCTTTCACCGTAATGAAGTTAAAAATAGTTTACTATTAGTTTTCGGTGGCGGTACGTGGGGGTGAAACCAGCCCGTACGAAAACGGCGGCTTTACGTTTGGACGTCGTTATACGCGATTGTGTGATGAAGTGGAGTTGGGCTCAATGAGGGTGAGCTTTAAGACAACGGTGCGAGTCCGGATCGCGCGGCGCGTGTGTCGCTTTAGACGCACGTGCTGCGTCTATTCTGGGCGGCCCGGCGACGAGTCGGGCGAGCTTCGGGCGGAATCGAGCGGATACGATATAGGTCGGCCGCTGGACGACGAACGTATATACGATAAGCTGCAATACATAATATATTTATGCAACACAACACGGCTTAGGCTCAGTTGAAAAGTTTTCATATTAAAGATTTCACAATTTTTNTGTCGCTTTAGACGCACGTGCTGCGTCTATTCTGGGCGGCCCGGCGACGAGTCGGGCGAGCTTCGGGCGGAATCGAGCGGATACGATATAGGTCGGCCGCTGGACGACGAACGTATATACGATAAGCTGCAATACATAATATATTTATGCAACACAACACGGCTTAGGCTCAGTTGAAAAGTTTTCATATTAAAGATTTCACAATTTTTATTTTTATTTATAACTTTATATACTAGACAGTTAGTAATTTAACCCATTTTTCTGTTTTGGTTCTTATTAAATGACCTATCGAGAAGGGAAAAGATTAAAAGGACGACCGTTCCAAAGGTGGGTAGACGACACAAAAGGACCGTTGCCGGCTCTACGTGGAAGAGGAAATGCCGCGACCGGAACTTATACCAGGATTTGGGGGAGGCCTATGCGAAAGCAAAACAATCTTAACCGATGTCAAATGCAAAGAAAAAAAAGAAGAAAAAAATTAATAGTATGTACCTAAATATGAATTGAGGTTGTTAATAAAGGCTTCTTTAATTTAATACTAGATAGTATTAAGGCGGTCTTAATGCCATAGGCATTCTCTGACAGTCTACCTTAGAGGGGTGCAGAGATGAGGTGTAGTGTGATAGTAATATTACTTAAACACATGTGTATATATATAACATACATAATATTTATAGATACAAATACTCATATTTAAATAAGTGCATATACATAAATATATACATACAAAAATATATATAAATAAATATTATCAATTAGATGACTCTGCTAACTCTCTGAGAAACAGTTTACGAACCCTCGTCTTAAACGCTTCACGTGTAGTGGCCGACCATTTCAGTAAAGTAATTGAATATTTATTGGAAAGTCGATACTTTCACTGAATATTTGCGAAAAAAACGTTCAATATTTGTACAAATTCCAGTGAAAGGTGAATTATATTTTGAAAACATTAAATCGAAGAGTAAATAATATATCACATTTAAGTGATGCTTTTATGTAATTTGAACTTTTGCCGGAAATCTGTAAATAACTTTACCGGCATCATCTGAAAAAATGTCTGAAATCTGCTAATAAAATAATAATATACGTCTTCCTGTATATCAACGCTTTTTATTTCCCTTTTACCAAATATTCTTGTGCTGATTTCGTAGTATTTCTCGGATAAAGCTCCAAACTCAGTAATTTATACTGGAACTTTCTAACTTCATTGAAAGTTGGCAATTTTGGGTGGTCTGTTAAACATGATTTAGTGTCAAACTTGTTTGACAATTTATGTTTGGAATCGAATTTTATTTTTAAATGGTCCATGATTAGGCGATCATACATTCTGGTGTTAAATTCCCACTAAAGCCCGCAATGTGAAATTAATTTCAAATCATTTAATACTTTTTTCGATTTTCCCGGGTCATAACAAAAAGTACTTTAACTTTTTAATTTATTATTTTTATATCTTTTCCGATGCTTAAAATGCTTTCCGGTTGTCGACAGTTGACCACGTAAACTGTAAACTGTTATCTAAGCAATAAAACAAAAAAAAATATGTCAGTTAATAGTCAGATTTTCAAATTAATCAAATACTAGTGTTTTGACTTTGACTGGAAATATATTCTTAGTCCTACCTTCTCACTGTCTCGCTGCTCAATGTGCTTATTTAATTCAGAACACGACACATCTACGTGCTGTCGTTTCGACCGTGTTATATTTGTAATTGAAACATGTAGCATTTTCTCGGTAAACGAGTTACTTATGTGACTCTCTCTGATCCATAAACTACCAGTCGAATTGTATATCCTAAGGATTTCACGAGGCGTAACTACAAATTATTAACGCTGTAATCACTGACGGTCTTGTAACTTCTTCTTTTTCTATATCGTTCCCTCACTACTATAACTATGTAACTACTGGTCTTGTAACGGGTGACACGAAAATTGTAACTAAGTACCGCTTTGTAGATCCAATTACTTTATTATTATAAAATTTTCGACGGACAATGAATAAAAAACTCATTGAATGATTAAATATATTTTTACCACAAGAATGTCTGTCGTTATTATTTATTAAAAGCAATGCTCTCCAGTCATTATCCGACTTTGGTTGAACTTGAACTTGTTGAAATTAAAATAACGAATACAAAATAGTACTTCTGGTTCAAAAGAAGAATGACAATAAAAGAAAGTTTTGTGGTACTTCGTATTACACAAGTAACATCATTTGTTAAAAACGGAAAGAAAAGTTCTTGAAGAAAACATGACGAGGTCAGCATTAAAAATGTAAGGACTCCCTAAAGGTTCCTGAGTGCTCTGGCTTGAGAATTTACATAATGAACTCCTCAATCAATAACTAAGTTTATAATGTAATCTCCCTAAGACCTATTTTATTTACTTTAAACAGGACGTCACTAATTTCAGACAATATTTTGATTTTGTTATTCTAATCTATTTTATTCTTGTAAGTCGATGTCTGCGATATTTCGCTTCAGTTTCATATTAAAAAAATAGATGAGGCTATCCATTTGACGTGTTTTTTAAATCTTGTCGACTTTAGGTTGTCAATTTTTTTTTTTAAACGAAGTTCCTTAAGGTGCGATGCGGAGGGGTACCCTAACCGGGAAAAAACGTCCGTAACGTAAGATATTTATTATTTATGTATAGTCTTAGTATGATGGCTATACATACAGTGTCTGATGTATAGAGTACGTGATGACGGTTATTATTAATATTATTCATATAAATAGCTGTTTCTTTGTATATTATGATTATATATTTTTTATAAATCATTGTTAATAAAATAAAGTAGATAACTTTGTAAAATAGTTTTTTATTTTTTTTATCAATAAAAAAATCATAATAAAAAATGTATAGTCGAATAATTATTTTCTATAAAGGGCTGTGAGCTTGTCCACCCATCTAAGCATTTAAAAAAAGCACGTATTTTTTATATAGTTTTTGGTTCACCGTGTAAGCCTTCTGTAATATTTTCAGTGACTTCGAACACCAAATTATATTGGCGATGCAAAATTTAAGATAAACTCATTGTTCGATATCTTTATCCATTATGAAATTCTCAATACTCACTAAATATTTTTACTAAAAACCGCAGTGTATTTAATCTAAATAAAAGATGCAACTCAAGCTCCGCGCCAAAATGAAAAACCAATGCTAATCGAACAACAACAAAAAAATTAATTTCGAACCATAAACAAATCATCCATTCCCTGCTCTTTTTTTTAATATTCTAATATCCATATTTCCTGGGTTCTTAGACCTCTTGAAACTAATTTTTTTTTGCCTTCATTCCAATTTACTCGTCACGTGTCTTAAGCTCAGAATACAGAAAAAACGTTTTTTTCTGTATTCTGAGATCTTAAGATAGTCGTTACGTTGTGAAGTATAAAGTCCCCGTGATCTCATTCACCCACCTATACAATAATTAAATAAAAAATTGTATTTTCGTTTTAATTTTAAAATACAAATTATCGAAAGTACGAAAATACCAATATTTTCGAACATTCTGTCCTTTAAACAAACAGAATTCAAATTAAATTCGAACCCACTAATTATCGAATCAAAAGACACTTAAATCTGTGTAAAACATAGGCATAGAAAAAACTTTAATACTGTATTATCTATGATACCACATACACATCGCCACGTACGTAGGTAGGTAAATTTCACATTTATAATGAATACATTATGGCGCACCCTCACATGATCCAAATAAAACGAGGGCTGTAAAACCTACACGAATACGCTAAATGAAAATTTAATAATAGAAACACAACTCCCACGTTGCTATAAAATTAATTTCAGCTAACTATTTGAATGTTTATATTAAGTACATAAATATATTTAATAAATATTTTTATTATATAAAATTAACATAACTTATTAATTAATGGTACGTTAATAGGAAATTGAGTGTTCTTTTTTATGCTTAGTGATTGTAGGAATGTATGAGCGACCTCAACCCCAAGTCAAACGAACTACTAGCCTTCAAAATACTGTTAGATTTTTTAGTTCGTATGCTAAAAAAAAAAAAAAACATGTTTATTTAAACTAGTGGCCCCGCAGTAGTCGAAATTCGACTATAATTAATTGAAATTATAAGTTTAAGCATTATTATGGTTCTATTGTCAAACACTATTATAATTCGATAATATAATCACAATATTCGCCAAAACTGCACTATAGATCAATAATATTAAATACAAACAATATTAATCTATTTTCAATTCGACCACAGACTTTAAAAAATAACAAAAGTTTCCCAATTGACAGTTAACAAAGAGTATATTTTTATGTATGTGTTGTGTCAAATACATGGTAGTGTGTTTAATGTTTTCTTTATTGATTTAAAGTATCTTTTATGCATTATTTAAAAAAAATATTAGCATTGTGCACTTCTTCTCTATATTCTCTATAAGTGTGGAAAATTTCTTACTCCTCCGTCCGCGCAATTATCGTAAAAAGGGATACAAAGTTTTGCTTCACGTATTAATATATAAATATTAGACGGTAGTTAGTATAAATTAAAATGTCTACGAACCCATACGAAGACAACGTTATACGAAGCCAAAATTAGTCGATTGCCTCTTTCCAAACGTCGATGTGCAATATTTATCTCGCTCAGTCGCAACACAATAAAAAATGATAAACTTTATTTCGAGACATCATAGCCTCATAGTGTGCCAGTATTACAAATAACTTAAAAATTCCTCACAGACACAACCCGATGAGTTTCTCGCCGGATCTTCTCAGCGGGCCGCGATTCCGATCCGGTAGTAGGTTCAGCGAAGCACTGCTCTTGCTAGGGCTAGTATTAGCAATTCT